CTGAGGTTTGCTCTTTTGAAGCTTCCCACTCACTTTTGGCTCCATGAGCCAAAACAGCTGGAGCAAAATCACCATTGCAGAGCCTGCTCTGATCATGCCTAGAGGTGGAAAGTCGTCTTTTAAAAGGATTTGAGAAAGACGTGCTGGAGATTTATTTATCAGCTAAAAGCCTCACTTGTACTTGCTGGTTGTTTTGTGCAAAGACTGGTGCTGGTGTTGTCATGTTAAGGGGGAGTGTGGGACATTTGCCTGCCAGTGCTCCAGGACTTGAACAGTTTCACAAAGTCAGAAAGTATGCCTGAGAATTCTGCCTTGAGCCCCAGCTAAGGACTTGTATTGAGATGGGTGTACAAGTTAAACTATTAGGTCTTTAGAGATTAGATTTATTAAAGTGATAGAAAGTAGGTTTGGAATTGCCATTGATAGACGCACTAACTGCAAAAGGATGATCAATCTCAACTTAGTAGCTCCAGGGTACATCGGATGCAGTTGTATGCACAAGTCTGTGTAATAGCAGTAATGTGTATTAGTAATGCTGGGGGAAGCTATACTGCATACTGAAGGCACAATTCTTGCCAAGAAGGTGTCCCCCCTTGGGTGAAGGAGTACAGCCTTTTGACCATCTCTGCTTGGACTTTCAGTCTTCTCCACTCTTATGGCCTGCACAGCCAGTGGCCAGCAGCCAGAGAGGTATTCTCCTTGTGATTTTTTTTTTTTTTTCCCACATCCTAGCCCCATCTGTCTCTGCATTCCAGGTGACGTTCAGCATGATTTGGGTGGAGAGTTGAGTACCACAGTCATATGTTTAGCCTGTACTCCATTAGGCTTATTACAGTATTTAGGGGTGTACACTTTAATTTTGCTGTTAATTAGGCAAAGGTCTTCTCTCTGACACTATGGCCTTCAAGAATTATGTAAAAGCTGTTTGGTTTTGTTGGTTTAGCTAAAACAGGACTGTCTTATCTTCACAAGACTCCCTCCTTCAGCAGTTTGGCTGCCAGCTCAGTGATCTCCGCCCCCAGAGATAGGTTAAGATGTTTGTGACTAGAAGATTCTTGTACTTTCTCCCAAAGCATACCAAGTTAGCCTGTATTCCTCTCATGGCAAGCTAGGCCATTATCCCAGAGATGGAGAAGCCTATGAGGGACATACAGAATAATGGTTTAATCCATTTGAAGGATTAACCCTGTAAAACTGATCTCTTGTGAGGCTGGTGGGAACGGTCCAGGGGCATCATGAGCCACGTGGGCTGGTTGGGATGTGAGCTGCATAAACTGAGGTCTTGCAAATATGCCTTATGAAGACTGGCTTGAGGGATCCTGGGTTGTTTAGTCTGGAGAAGAGGAGAGTGAAGGGTGACCTTATTGCTCTCTGTGACTACCTAAAAGGAGGTTGTAGTGAGGCTGGTGTTGGTCTCTGCTCCCAAAGTATTAGTGATAGGATGAGAGGAAATGGCCTCAAGTTGCGCCAGAGGAGGTTTCCACTGGATATTAGGAAGAATTTCTTCACTGAGAGAGTGGTTAGACACTGGAACAGGCTGCCCAGGGAGGTGGTGGAGTCATCATTCCTGGAGGTGTTCAAAAAACACATAGATGCAGCACTTGAGGCTATGGTCTTGTGGTTAGGGAAATGCTGGGAGGAAGGTTGGACTTGATGATCCTAGAGGTCCTTTCCAACCGTAGTGATTCTATGATTCTATAAACTGCCTTAGGGAAACTCAGTTTTCTGCCCTGCTACCTGCCTCGGGCTCTGCTCCTGCTTCATCTCGCAATAGGGACGTTGTGTTGTGGCCCCGTTCATGACTGAAACGTGGTGAGGGGTGGGTGGGGTGTGGGTCTTTCTCTGCCAAAGAGTGGGACAGGCAGTTGCAGCCCCAGTGCTGTAAAGCTCTGGGGGGATGCTAAGCAGAGCCCTGTGCCCACAAACACAAGAAAACAGAAAGGAAGAAAAAACCTCACAGAAAATCCCCAAGAAAACAAAAGCAACAAAGTGCCCTCTGTATTTTTTTTTTTTTTTTTTTTTCCTAAAGCATATGATTCCAAGTGTGCTGTATTGCTGAGCTGCACATTCCGGGCCATGGCGAGCCGGGCAGAGGTTGAGACACATCTTCTCTGGGGAGAGGGAGGGTTCTGTGAGCCTGACTCAGCAGCAAAGGTCGCTTGGCTGACAGACTTGGCTCGCAGGAGGAGTGGTAGGTTAATGTGTGGGCCTACCAGAGAAAAACCCACCGATTTGGGTGAACTGGGGTGATAGGGCAGTGGGGGTCAACCTCACCTGCCCACTCCCCCTCCTGAATAATTTCTCTCTCTTCCTTGCTGCCTTATTTTCTTTCTCCCCTCCTGTGCCCCCACGTTTTGTGTCTCTTGAGTTCTAGCATTTAATCTCATTGTTGAGTTGGTTTTTTATAGCCTTGGCTCAACTTCCAGTTCCTGTTTGGGGTCATTATCACATATGATTAGTCTTGGAACCTAATGAAGGGGATCAGACATAACTCTAGGGTATGTCTGAGCCATTTAACATTTCGAAGCTTAAAGATCTGCAGAGGAAGTTTATTTTTAAGCTTCCTGAGAAGATAAATTTGAATGTTGGATTGTTTAGGGTACAAGTAATAGAACTGAAATGCCTCCCAGAGGGGAGAAGTGCCCACTGGGATTTGAAGCATCCCAGGGATAATTATCCAGTGCTGAGTAAGTCTTGTTAGTCTTGAAATAGCTTTTAGTGGATGATCACATATTTCCTCGTGTTGGCTAGCATGCAAGCTTGAAACCATATATTAATATTTAGCCCTTGTTGTAAGAGCACTGTCAACATGCTTTTAGTACTGTTGTTATCCAGTCCCACCCTGGGGAAGCCAGGCATGGGGTTACGAAACAGTGGCACACAATAACAACCCCAGGGAATGAAAAGGGCATTTTTGGAGGCTGCTCTTCGAGGTTCCAGTCTTTCCCTGTATTAAGAGATAGGAGGGAGCTGCAAGGTCTTGCGTGTTGGAGCATCCTCAGGACAGCTCCAGCTGCTGCTCCGTGCTGGCCCTTTGCAGGGGACTGTAGCTCCAGCTCAGCAGAACAGCAGTGGGGCAAGTGCCACGCTGTGTCACTGGCCCAGGCGAAGTGACAGGTCTGGGTAGTGACTCAGCCGTGTCCCTGCTGACCATCTACTGCTGTGATGCAGATCATTAGTCACTGATTGATGGTGTTGCCCTGTTTTTAGGCTGCTGGAGAGGCCAAGGATCACATAGGTGTGAGGCGGCTATGTCAGTCTTCCACCTCTTTTGCCTTTAGGTCCAACAGGCTCTTGGTGGTGCTTGGAGGGCTGCTTCTGTGTGCCCTGCCAGGCACACCCAGACTGTGTCAGTTATATCTCGTGCTCTCTGTTTGACTATAAGCCTGTCAGAGCTATATAGTGGGACTGGGCTCTGTAGCTGGAGCCTTCTGGTGTGTGGGAATGAACCCTCCCAAAGAGGGACTTTTGGAGGCAGCGGGAGAGGGCAATCTGCTTTTGGGTTGAGTATGAGAAGCTTGTTTCACCTGGGCTGTGTTTTCTGCCTTTATCAGCTCTGTAAAAATACTCTAAACCATCTGGGGCTTTACTGAGGATAGCAATTTTATAATACCTTTTTTTTTCCACACCACTCCCCTCCCCTCCCTCTTCTCCTGTGCTTCCCATCTTTGGCTCCATCTCCTTATCTAGTGCCTAATCTATAGGTACCAGTGGGTTGGTTGCCAATGCTTAGGTGTCACCGTACCTGATATCTCAACTGGTGGCTTGTAAATCTGTCTCTTTACTGATGTCTTTTGTGCTATTTCCCCAGACCAGTCTTGAGGATGGGTCTCTGATGCTACTTGTAATACCTGGATCCCCCTGGAGGGAGCTGGGTTTGGACACTGCAATTCTGCTCCCTTGTCTGTGGGTTTTTCTGTCTATCAAAAATCTCCATATGAGTCTTTTCTGGCTGTTGTTGCTTTTCTCAAAGGTTACAGGCTCCCTCTCTGGGCACGGTGTTGGTGGCACCCTTGAGTGCACTGGAGATGAAGGTGTAGGTACTCATCCCTCATCCCTTGTTCAGTCACAGCAAACTACATTTATCCATTCGGTCTTCCTCATGCCTTGAGTGGCCTAAGGAAGCCCTGTAGGTCTTCCACTGTATAGGCAACTGTGTCCATCTACTGTGACACTGTTGAAACATCAATCTCTGCATCCTGCCAAAGAGATTTGATCTGGGAGGGGTAGAACCTGTGTGCTGGGTACTTCCTCTGTGTTCACTTCCCATTTGAGCTTTACACCAAGCAAGCTATCCTCACAAAATTGAAGAAAAATTATCATAATAGTAGCAGTATTCCTAATAGCATCTATTATTTCTTAATTTTTAAATACCTCTCAGTGTACTTCAGCCAAACTGTTAGCCCACTACAATTTTAGCAGAAGAGCTATCTGTCTTTAAGGCAAATGCTGCTGCTTTTATTTTAAAATTATCATAATTCCCCCATCTGTTCTTCCCTTGTGTGTGCCCTGGCTCTGCTCTGTGCGTACCCAGTGCCTGCCTGGAGGAGCTCAATGGGGACTTTCTGGGTATTGACTGAACAAAATAAGTTGCCACATTGTCTGAGGGGATCACGTCAAGTCCTTCAGAGCTGACGTAGTGAAAAGTGAATTAAACATTTGAGAAAACCTAAGAGGCAGCAGCTCAGGCTTCTGAAGCATTGCTTGGAAAGATGACAACCAGCATATCTGATCTGTAGGCAGCCAGGTGAGATGGTGCAAAAGCCAAAATTGGCCGAGTTGTCACAGCAGCTGACACTGGACTACGTGGATGCACCTGCTCAGAGTGGGAAGGGCTCTTGTCCCTTATCTGAGGAGTCACACGTGTGCCAGAAGACCTTTGTTCTGAATATTTGGAGCAACAAA